AGTGGTAACGAAAATGCTGCTGTAATTGCGACATTAAAGATGAACGTTTATGTCGCGGCTCTGACGGAATGGCGGCTAATGCCGCCGCGGCCTCCGCTCCAGTTCCAGAAGGACATCGTGACGGAGGTGACCGAGGCCGTCAAGGCGGAGATCCAGGCATCGCCGGCTGCCGAGATGACCTGCGCGTGTCCATGCGCGCTGGCAGACTCGTCGACCGCGGTGAGTGCTCGACCTGACCCCGGCCAGCTCACCCTGTGACTCCTCGCGCCTTCCTGTGCCCCGCGTGTTCGCTCGCCGTTCCATTCGCACCGGAGGAAGTGCCTTCCGCAAAGCCGATTGAAGACCGAGCTGTGTCATCGTGCGGTTGTTCTCCAGCCGTGTCGCCACCCGTTCGCGCCGCTGATGCGCTCACATGCAGCGTGTGCGCTTGTTTGCAGTCGCTGGGGCCGGGCTCGCGCGTGAGCCCGTCGCCGTCCAGCCGCACGGCGAGCCCCGCCCCGCCGCTGGCGGCGCGGGAACCGCGCCTCGCAGACCTCCCCGCCGCCGCCGGCCAGCGACAAGTGCTGGGTGTCGGAGCCGGCGCTGGCCGCCGCGCCGGCCGCCGCTGCCGGTGGCGGGCCGCCGGTCGACGAGTTCGGCCTGTTCTCGGTTTCGGCAACGGCGCCGGCTGCCGCCCCGCTCTCCGGCAAGTTCTGGTCGTCGGCGACGGCCGTCGACGGCGACGGCGGGTCCAACGTCGGCCGCAACGTGTCGAACGTGCACACGGGCAAGACGGTGTTCAGCGCCGGCGGCCGCTCGGTGGTGACGAGCCGCGCCCGGGCGCCGCCGGCGGGCCTCGCCCGGGCGCCGTCGGCGCCGCTGCTGCCGCCGGTCGGCCGGCCCCAGCCCCGGCCGCGCCGCTGCCACACCGACGTGGATGACGCCGACTACCATGCATGCTGGTGATGGTGGAGCACTCGGCCGCCGAGCTGGATCCGGAGCCGGAGGAGAAGCAGAGGAGCCGGAGCAGCCGGAGCAGGAGACACTGCCGAAGGAGCCGCAGCACCAGCCGACACTGGCACGGAGCAGCAGCAGCAGCAACAGCAGCCGCCAGCACAAGAGCAGCAACAGCCGCAGCGGCAGTCAAGCTTTGATCAGCTGCTGCACCAGCTTTCCCAGCGCCGCCGCCACGCAGCACAGGCAGCCGCAGCTGCAGCAACAGCCGCAGTCCAGCCCGGAGCAGACGCAGCAGCGGTCTCAAGCCGCCGTCGACGAACCGGTAAGCGGTTTGGCTGTTGGCGGTCCGGGGTGTGGCGCGATCACACGGATTGGGCGACACGGCACTTGTCGTCAGGCCATACTGTGCTGAGCCATGGGGCTACACGGCACTTGTCGTCAGGCCATACTGTGCTGAGCCATGGGGCTACACGGCACTTGTCAGGCGATACTGTGCTGAGCCATGGGGCGACACGACACTTGTCGTCAGGCTTTGCTGGCCACAGACTGCCCTCTGTCGATTTCGTATAGTAGACCCTGGGCCGTGCACAGTTGCCGTTCTTGTCCTCCCATGCTATGTTCTCACATATCACGGTATGATCGCGCGGGCCGTGTCCTTCATCCGCGGGCGCCGGGAACCGCTCCCGGCCGGCGGCGCGCTGGCTGCGCTCACGGCTCTGAGCGACAGGGCCCCTACCCGACAGGAACCGGAGACGGCTGGCCCGCCGAGAACGGACGACGACTACGTGACGGTGAACGGGCAGCCGGTTCAGCCCTCTCGGAGGACGACTTCTGACTTCCCGACATCGTAATCATCCGTCCCGGACGGCGCGGAGCGCTTCGAGATGGTCGAGGAAGAGGACGAGGAGGAGGAAAGGAAGAGGAGCAGGGCGGACTGCTGGATTCGGTGCTGGGAGGCTCGCGGCGACGGAAAGGTGCGAGAGCGACATGGGTTCTGTCAGGGGCTGGTGACTCGCAACATGGCCTTTGATACTTTCGATCTTTAAAAAGCCTCAGACGTGGAAAATGAGACTGAACATTTCAGCATCGATGGGTCGTTTCCACGCTTACGTCACCCAAACAGAGTGGAAGTGAGCCTGGGCTTCGACTTTCTGCGCATGACGTCTGAGGCTACGTGCTCGTAAAGGCCACTAAGGATTGAGAGATCAGTAGGTGCTGGCGAGCACTTTCTTCGCAACAACAGTGTCTCGGAAAACTTGTAAAAACTGTGTACACGCAAACTGCGTAAGACAGACGCTTTGCGTCTCTGCGGGAAGAGGCTCAAGCGTACATCACTATTGTCGCAATAAAAAAGTCGTGTTGCCTACCGCTCAACTTCAGGAAAGCTCGCTTGTGTTAGAAAGTACTACTGTGCGCCTCATGTGTAGAAACTGTCGCTGTCTTATTTCAGACGCCTGAAAGTTATGCCGTTCGGCACAAACTCCAAACCAGCACATTCTGGATTGTAACTGGTCAGTGGATGGTACTTTTGATTGTTTTACTGCTGAAACCAGAGCCGGAGAGCGTGCTTTGCCCTTCTATGCTGCTTTGCTTAAAGCAGACTTTTGTGCACAAACGCTAGGAAGCTGCTCACCATCACGATCTGTTTCGTAACTGGAAATTGTGAAGTGCCTTTTCTTGTGCATACCCGAACGCTTTTTTCATTGTTGCGTCCTAACGCGGCCGCGACCATTGTCTCCTCATGTTGTCTGGTGTCAATGACACTTGTGTGGGGGGGGGGGGGGTTGAAAGGGGCCCGTCCCACTGGGAGCGGCGCGCTTGGTGCCGTTCGTCCGTGGCGCCCGCTCGCTCGCTCACCCCTCCGTGACGCGCCCGCACAGGTGACGCCGGTCGCGCCGGCCGGCGACGCGCTGGTGGCTTCGGCGCTGTCCGACAAATGGTGTGACGCGGCCGTCTCGCTCGGTGAGTGACGCTGAGTCCTCGGGACAGGGGCGGTGCGACGCGCCGCTCCGGCAGCGAGGGAGCCAGCGCCCGACACTCGACCTGGGCCTGGTCCAGATCAGGGCTCGGCCGGACTGATGGGCTCCACGGGTCTGGCCTGCTCTCCGTCTGGTCGTGGAGCCTGGATTGTCGTCGGCGTGCGAGCCAGGATGGATTGCTCGGAATGGGCGTAGCTGTTTTGGCACTGCCCTCCGGTCGTCACTAGCCGCGAGGGCTGCCGTTGCGAGTGTTGTGTGCCAGCTCGGTACGAAAGGCGAACATCTTACGCTTTCTGAAGACTTGCAGTAATTTTTTGTCGTCTGCCATTTTTTTTCGGGCTTCACATAACCGTTCCATGCGACGCCTAGCCGCCGCAGCCCCCCTCCCAGCCTCGGTGGCGCCTGTCACCGCGCGCCTATCCCCGACAGAGGCCTCCTCGGAGCTGGACGCCCGCAGCTGGGTGGCCGCCGAGCTGCCGGAGGACGCCGACGCGCGCCGTGACTCGAGCCCGCAGCGCTCACACTGTGAGAGCGCGCCGGCCGCCTGCCCGCTGGAGCTGAGCGCGCCGGCCCGCGCTGCCGTCGGCGCACACCGTCTCGCTGCCGCTGCCGGCGCCGGCGGCGGCCGAGGCCGAGCCGCTGTGCGGGCCGCGACGACCCGCTGTCGGCGCTTGCCGGCGGCCGTGCGCCGCGGCCTGGCCGACAGCCTGCAGCGACTGCCGGAGCCGCTGGCAGCGCGAGCTGGCGCTCCAGCTGACCGGCCGCCGCTGCGCCGAGGTACGCCGACGCCGCGCCGCGCCGAGACAGCCGCCGTGCGGCCGGTGGCGGGTTGCGGTGTGGGCGGCGTCTGTGGGTGTCTGGGTGTGAGCGGCGTCTGTGGGTGTCTGGGTGTGAGCGGCGTCTGTGGGTGTCTGGGTGTGAGCGGCGTCTGCGAGTGTCTGGGTGTGAGCGGCGTCTGCGGGTGTCTGGGTGTGAACGGCGTCTGTGGGTGTCGGAGTTTCAGCTGCCAGACGTCGTGCGTGCCGTGGGTCGGTCTCGGCCTCCGTGTCATATTGTCGGGGCGCTGGCGTCGGACGCTCTCCTGTCCGCCCGGTATGTGGTCGGACCGCGGCCGTCATGCGTCTGCCGCCTGTGTCGCCCTGCCCTCCGACGACAGCGGCCTGCCGGCAGGTGTTCTGGGAGCAGTTGGGCGAGATGGCTGCCGCGTCTGGCCGCAGCCGACCGCACGAGCTGCTGCTGGATCAGGCGCAGCGGCCGGGCGGCGTCGGCCTGCTCGCCGACTCGCTGCACGGCCTGCTGCAGGAGCTGAAGATGTCGGCCGCCTCCAGCTCCGAGCTGGACGGTCTGGGTGCGCAGGCCGTGAAGCACACGGTCCTCCTGCTGCGCGGCGCGCTCCGCTTTGAGGAGGAAGAGGACCAGCGGGAGCGGCCGGCTGCCGAGGCGGCCGCGGAGGAGGCGCCCGAAGAGACGGCGTCGGCGCCGCAGTCGGCGACGGCCCAGCAGGAGGAGACGTCCGGGGAGCCGGCCGCTCAGCCGCCGTCGCAGGAGCCGGCGCCCGAGGAGCCGCTGCAGGCGCCCGAGGAGCCGCTGCCGGCGCCGGAGGCCGACGGCGCGGCGCCACCGTCGCTGGGCCGGTCCCGTCTCAGCGCCCTCCTGCCAGAGTGGGTGCTCAACCTGCTGCGCTACCAACACGAGCGGGGCTCGCAGGAGGCGGTGCCGACGGAGGCCGAGGCCATGGTACGTGACACCGCGGCCCGCTCGGGGCATGGCCGTCTGGCGTCGGGTGTCAGTCACCTGCTGGACGGCGATGCTGGGCGCGGCCTCAGACCGTCGCACGGACAGCTTGTTTTTTGATGTGCGAATTCATCGTTGTAGTAAGGTGTCGAAGGGCGCTGATGTTGGGACCATGCTCCTTTCCGTGTTTTGTTCCAGTATTGTGGGCTCAAAGTTCTTTATCGGCTTTACGAGCTTGACCGTAGCTTGGTGGTCGCCGACTCAACATAACTTTTGAACTCAGGTTCAAAAACTAGAAGCTGAAGGCTTTGCTGGCTTTTGCTCTGACATCGCAACTGCCTTGGATGGCGTTTCCTCATTGTGGTGTGTGTCTGGAGCCGCACAGCCGTGACGTGTACTGATGAGTGTTCTGACTGACGCTTTCGTCGGAAGAAGCCGCGTGATCACCAGCGGATGGACTTATGGCGCTACCGAAAGTACCAGGCTGCGTCTCTGATGGGGGATACGCTGCTAACCTGCCCTGTGTGCCGCCAGATCATCTCGCGCCTCGTGGACATGGGTTTTTCGGATATCGTCCAGATCCGCGCCCTGTACTGCCAGTACGGCGACGACTGCAACGCCATCGCCTCCCACCTGCTGGACCGCTCCGTGTAGGCGGGCGTCACTGAAGCTGCGTGCCGGCCCTGCTGGTTCCGTTGGCTGCTCTTCGCTTGCGGCGGTGGCGGAGCGTTGGGTGCTGGCGTGGGGCAGTCCTCGGACCGGCGGCGGCACAGGAGCGAGCGGCGCGCCCGCCGTACGGTGGTTCGCGCCGGCGCCGCCAGAGGCGCGCCAGGCGAGGTGTAGGTGGCGCTGCGGCTGTGTATGAGGACGAGTCAACGGCTGCGTTGAACACTGATCAGCGTCTGCGAGTGAAGACGAATCAACGGCCGCGTTGATCACTGATCAGCAGCTGCCATTGAGGACGAATCAACGGCTGCGTTGAACACTGATCAGCGTCTGCGTGTGAGGACGGATCAACGGTTGCGTTGAACACTGATTAGCGTCTGCGTGTGAAGACGAATCAACGGCTGCGTTGGACACTGATCGGCGTCTGCGTGTGAGGACGAATCAGCGGCTGCGTTGAACGCTGATCAGCGTCTGCGTGTGAGGACGAATCAACGGCTGCGTTGGACACTGATCAGCGGCTGTGTGTGAGGACGAATCAACGGCTGCGTTGGACACTGATCGGCGTCTGCGTGTGAGGACGAGTCAGCGGCTGCGTTGAACGCTGATCAGCGTCTGTGTGTGAGGACGAATCAACGGCTGCTTTGGACACTGATCGGCGTCTGCGTGTGAGGACGAATCAGCGGCTGCGTTGAACGCTGATCAGCGTCTGCGTGTGAGGACGAATCAACGGCTGCGTTGGACACTGATCGGCGTCTGCGTGTGAGGACGAATCAACGGCTGCGAGCCGGGAGCCTTATTTTAGACGTGGCACCCCGCAGTCTGCCCGCTTTGCACCAGTAAGGGTGCGACAGTTGGCGCCGATGAATGTGAAATTTCCGAGTGTCATGCCTATAGACCGGAATTGCTTTAATTTGCCGATTGGGGCTGTGCGTACGGGGCGTTAAGATGGGCTTATTACCTTGGTTGTGGCGGGAAGGTGGCGCCGGTGCAGCTTTCACCGGTGGAGCTCCGCCCAGTTGCGGAGCAGCTGGAATGGGGTTTGGCGGTTACGCGTGGACTGTTTTATCCCCGTAGCGCAGATGGTGCGGACAAGGGTACCGCAGACAGCGTGTGAAGCTTCAGGTGGCGGCCGTCTCCCGCGCGTTCGGCGCCCTTCGCCCTGCGCGAGCCGCTGGCGCGTGTGCGTCGCTGGATTTCGTCGGTGTGGTGTGAGCTGAAGGCTGACACGCGGACCCATCACGCCTTTCGCCACCTGTGAGCGCTGTTTGTCGCACGTATCGCTGTTGCCGCGTATCCGGTCGTTGCAGTCCGCTTGTAAACAGTTACAGCGTAGATATACTGGCACAGACGCCGCAGCGTGGTGTGGACAGATCGGTCATCTATTCTGGACAGTTCGGTAGACGTGGCGTTCCTTTTATCCATATTCATAGAAACCTAGCGACTAACACCGAGAGCGCCGCCGCGGCAAGCACCCCGCTGGCGCGTATATTTTACCGACGCGCACCCCGCTTGTCAGCAGCCGACCGGCGCGAGGCGAGATTTTCGCGGAGATGTGTAGCCCGGTTGCCGGCCTGGGCTGCTGCGCAGGCCGGGGGACCGCACCGGACCCGCGGCCGGCCCGTGCTGGACACGCCCCCGACGGAGCAGTCGGTGGAGCGAGCGCGACGCAAATCGTGTGGTCTCAGTCAATAAATACAGAACGCACCCAGCCGGCGTGTTCGGGGAGGAGTGGGGTACTCCTCGGATGTCGTCCTGGAGGAATGGCTGCCACTTCAGGCGAGTGGACTTCCTTCTGCTGCGTAGCACGGAAGCTGGGAATATGTGTTAGGCTCATTCCAGCAGCGTCCCAGCAGTTTATCCCGCTGGTTGGACATCGTGGCACCTTAGCGGGCTCGGATAAACACCCAAAAAATGCAGGAGGAAGCCTTGTCAGACATGTCATTTTCGGCAGCGATGCACGGCAAGGTTTTGTGGACATGCTGCCCAATTTCTGAGACCGTGCGTTGTGCGCTCTTTACTCAGCGTCGGGTCACATCGCAGCAGTCTAAAGACGAAGTCAAATGAGATTCTAATGGAAGGCGGCACGGTTTCTGCGGGGAGTTAGTCCAGGGTGCTGGACATTTCACGATGCCTTCTGCTGATGAAGCAGTGCCCAAGCGGACACCTGAAAGAACTTCATGTATTCCGACGGCTCGTCTACGTTCCATTGACCGTTCTAGGTCTTCGATGGAGCCTGAGGCAACTGCTAAGCGTCGCGCTGAGTGTCCAGGTCTCGGTCAGCATGGTCGGTGATATGTGGTGTGGGCTGATGCTGCAGCCTCGCGTGTGTTGGAGACGCTGGGTGAGAATCCTGGAATACGGCGGGGGCAAATCCGGCCGGACTTGGCCCGGGGCTCTTAATAATGGCATGGTTGCATGGTGTTTCCAATTCCTCGTGATGAGTATTTTTGCGTTCATGTATTTAGTTCAGTCGGATATATATATATATATATATATATATATATATATATATATATATACTTCAATATATATATTTACTTCAATTTTAATTATATTTCTGATAATACTTTTTTCTTTTCATTCTACTTCATTCGGGCTTATTCATCGTTACCGATGTAGTCATTTCTCAAGCAAGTACGCCTACACCCTGGACCACTACCTACAAAGCGAGTGGCGTTAACACATAACCCGCTCTTTAGGCGGATCACCTGTTCACCCCATGCGTGGTTGTGTGGTTGAATATCCATACGTTATGTCGACTGTCAACTCATGCTGAAACATCCACTTCAACTCATTGTGCATGTCAGGGCGGCACTAATATCTCAAGAAACGGGGCTCGCCGCTTTCCCTTGATTTAAGCTTTTTCCATGTACCACCTGATTTTAAGAGAAGTGAAAGCCCATATCCTCCTTCCTTATTAACTTATAGGTGCGCAGAGGCTTTTGTTCTTTGTTGGTTTCGTGAAATATTTTAAATGCCCCCGATCAAAGCTGCCACTAGGCGTAGAATCTACGTAGTCATTTTATGAACAACGCATTGCTTAGACCTCAATATAATGCATGGAATTGGCATAGCTTAGGCCACGAATTGGGCTCGTGCACCTCCGTGGCGCGTTACCCCAGGCAGATTTGGGGAGTAGACGCATGATCTATTATGCTCAAAAATTACATAGCAGCGCTATGTAATTTTGACTCAGCTGGCCGCTTTCCGGACTTGATAAAGGCACCTTGAACCATAACATGATTCCGTCAGAGTCGATTTTGGCGACAAAAACAGGTCATTTTCTAACGTTTACAGACTAGATTCCAATATATGCAAAGCTCATTTGTATGTACCACACGGAGCCATATGTAATGCTCTGCCGGACATGCGGGCTCTCAGAGCAGGAACATCTGGGTTGAGCTGGCTTGGCCCGGTCTGAAAAGCGTGCCTGCCAGTGTATTCATGCATCTGTGAGTGCATTCATGTGGTTAGATACCTGGGCAGATGATCCCACTAGTGAATCTCACATATTGCCTTTGCCGTGTGCTGCCAGGTGAGACCATTATCCTGCCTTTTGTGTGTTGTCAGTTTGTCTGACAGACTGGGTGTGCCTCTGGTTTGGCCAGCTGCCCTTCTGCCGATGTTCATGCGATTGGCCAGCTGACTGCCTTGACGTTGACTGCATCGCTGCTTATCCAGACACACCGTCATCTCTCCGTAGTCGAATGACGCCGGCTGCGCATGAGGATTCGTGTTTGTTCCGGAAGGGCGTACTTTCTCCGCAGGTCCTCTGTGACAGCCTGACATGCTCACCAACAAATAGGGCATTTGCCGGTGACGCTGGTCGCTGCCAGAAGGATACTGTCAATTATTCCGTGTCTAGTCGGTTGTCCCCACTAGGGCGCTTCAAGACGTCCCACAGGTGCCCGAAAATGACTGGGTTTCTGACTGGGGAATGAGTACTGGGCGTACGGGTTTCAACCACCGCTGGAGGGGTCACGGCCCGAAAAACTCCCCTATTGACTGCTGGCGCTACTTGAAAGATCGGAAAATTATTAACTTTATCCAGCCTGCAAGCTTGTTTGGTCTCAACGCCTGCCTTCCGATTCACCCACTCGTGGCGGGGTGGATTCGAGTCGGTTTTGGCAATCGTAATTTTCCCTGACTGGGACGGTCTGCGGCTGGTGGCACGTGTGCGGCCGCGCGGGACGGAGGTGCCCGACGCGTAGAGGCACGAGAGCCGCACGAGCTGTGCAGCACGAGACGTATTGTTACCGGCGCTGACGGCGGCGGCGGCGGCCGCCCGCGTGGCGCGAAGAAGCACGGACGAGGGTCGGCTGCTTAGTCCTGTCGATTCTGTAACGTTTGGTTATACCGTCGTACTGTACCGTGGCATTTAGTATTCGAATTATAATTCAAATATATGGCACCGGCTGACCTAGAGGTCAGGTGGCGTCAGAGGCCCGAATGGACCATGCCGAGCTGCGGCGGCGCGCTAAGTTTTCATTGCAAACTTACGTCGTTGAACTGTGATTCTACAACCGGCGGGTGATGGCGGGACTCACGCAACAAACGCTGCTTAACTCGGGCTACAATCGCATAAATTCATCGAATCGAAATGTCCGGACTTACCAATTTCGAAAAACCACCCGCGCTGACCCGGTCGTGAAGTGCTAAAAATCATTTTCAGCCATTGATTGCCGACCGATGCAGCAACAAGTGCAGCTCTTAAAAGTTTCGTCTCATGCATTGTTAGGGATTTGCGTGCCGCCTGTTCGGTCAGGCCTGATGTTGAAACGGTATTTCATATCGCAAAAAAGTCTGAAGGACGTGGGTCGCGCCGGGTCCAGATCCAGACGGCCTGGTGTCGCAGAGACACAAGACTAACAGCGTCCTCGTGGAATATAATCGCCGTGGCAGGCGGGGGCGGTCTGTGCGGTTGGCTATTTGCCTCCGTAGTCTCTACGCAGACGGCGTAGGTCCACCCATTTCGGGGTGCATTAGGGGCTGTCATATTTCAGCTGCCAGAGTAGGTGGAGATGTGAAGACATGGAGCCAGCTGTGCGGTGCAGGCGAACTCAGTTCCCCCATGGTCCCATCCCATCCC